TCTACACGGAATCGAAGAGAGAGCGACGGACTGTCGACGACCACCGTGGTTTCTTTTCTTTTTTCCTTTCTTTAATCGATACAAGAGAAAAAAAAGACACTCCTAATAATAGGATACATCCAATCGACGTACGCTTGAGCCGCAGAACATTCAGCTAAAATCGCAATTGCATATTAAATTACTTGGAGAACGTTGGCAGAAAAAGAAAAGCAATAGGGACGATACATGATTAATCCTTAAATTAACATTACGCTTCTCGTCTACGGTTAATTCGTAAAGTATGTGCACTACTAATGCGTCGTGATATCTTTGTTGATTGGTCATAGGTAAGGCCAAAGAGCGGATCTCGGAACATGCGGGGACCCCTCGGCACGACACGATTTGATTTACGGCAATATTCTTCAGACGCTATTTACATTGTATAATATAATAAGTATAATCGTGCGCGGGTCACCGCCGACCGCATGTCATTCCGAACATCCGCCGTTGCGCCTTCCGTCTTGCTTGAAAATCCTAAAACGACACGACGTTAACGGCACACATTTGTCGCTTATGAGGAATAGAACAAAACCGTCTCGAATCCGAGAAGGATCACAGATTTGTTTTCTGCGCGCGCGAGAGAGAGACTATTCCACTTTTTTACGAGATGAGAGGAGATACTTCGAGCTCAATAAATAATAGTAACACTATCATCTGGTATATAATATGTTAGTCCCTAGCATATTAATTTTCCTATAAAAAATTCGATACGAAGGCACGAAACGTCTGGGAAAATGTAATCGTGACGGCGATTTTTCGTACGGTTCTTTCGTATCACCCGGTGCGCTTCGTTATTACGGCGTCGCGTTGGCTTAATAATACATCAACTTATTTTACAACTTTGATTATTACAACTTAAAAAAAAAAAGAGCAATATGTAAATAATTGTATTTGCTAATCTGCATACATATAACGCCTCTGGCGTTACGTATCATCACTCGTGAAAATAAATAACAATCGCTTCCATGCATACACATAATTACAATAAACACTCTGCTCTTCCGCACATTTAACGCTAATTCTGACCCGTCGTTACGCAATTTCCTAATACTAAATACAATATTGGACACGATCGGATATTCAGCGTTAAATTCATGATGAAAATAATAACAGCTTTATAAACACACGTGTATATGCTACGCATTATACATTTGCGGAATATTCCAAGCGTTCTGTGACCGTCAGAGAGTTTAGGATAGCTATACATACTTTCAATGTCAGTGACTGAAAAACAGAGTGTACAGTAGCGCCAAGTTACGAGTACTTTTAAGATTTAATATTCTCAAAGACTCTACTAGACATTAAAGAATCTGAAGACATCCTGCTCTTCTATAGACTCGAAATCTCTGTATTCTTATTCTCTAAATCAAATTATCTTCTCTATGTGACGTATGAAAATTCTTTGTCTACTAAAGAAAATTACATTTGAATCTATTCTACGATATACACAGCATTTGAAAAGGATGAGAAGCGAGAAGAGGAACATGTCTGCCACAGCACGTCATCTGTGGAGATTTAAGTGATGAGAGTTAGGAGGTTAAAATATTATTGTATAAAACGTGACTAAATGTGATCCTGCTAAAATTATGCGATGGACGTTCATAGTAAAGTACAAAAGAAGCAAGTGTCACAGTATTGTGTTTCATTTGTACTATATAGAGACATTAGAGACACAGAGCAGCGGATCCCTGCAATGTATACGAAATATTATTTTCGTTATAAGAGATACTACTATTACGGAGCTTACAAAATCCAGCGAAATCTACCACATAGGCAAAGTACTCCGCCGAGTACCTTTGGTAATTTCCGCCGGGAATAAGTGGTCGAAGACTCGAAATTCTATTCTGCTTTCTTTATAATGCAAATTTAGTTTTTCTTGGAACTCATAGTAACAGGTGGCAGGTTAGAGTCATTGTGAATACGAAAGATCGCTCGGTGCAATGCAGAAATTTGTGCATCATAGATGAAAAAAGGAAAGTATAAGATTTTGCATTTTGATGACTCTGACAAGCTAAACGAATGCAACTAACGTGAAGAGTTTACACTATACGTTATAACGACTAAATGGATAGTGTCTCTCTAATCAATTTCTTCATGGTGTTGCCCATCGTGGTGGTCGATGGACTAGACGTCGTGAAAGACAATTTGAAGAGATACGGTTGTATGTCCGGGTACGAGGTATCGAAGATCAGATCCAGCTCGGCCTGACTTGGCACTTTTGGAATGTAATCGTGCCGATTCATGACCTCGGTGATGTAAAGGATCTTATCGGTCAGCAGATCGCCCACTTTTTCCCGACATATCTGCCGTTCGTGCTCGGTGGCCAATTTGATAAGTTCAAGGCGCACAGTCCACACTTCCCATGGTATACATTCCGGTTGAAATGGCCAGCGACTCTTTTTCCTCTGGAAGAATTCTAGGGATATCTGACCGGAACCTGGACTGTCGGTGGAGCGCAGCGCCTCCGAGAAACCCGATATCTCACGCTTCAGCGTCTGATCGAGGTGCACCGACGAACAGCAGACGTAAGTGAAATCAATAAAGTCGCAGTCCACGTCCTGATATCCTACAGTGCCCACTGAGTAGCTGCCTTCCTGTTTGTACTTAAATTTGCCAAGACTCCGATGAAATAGCACGCTGTGGAATATACTTGCCACTGCCTCATCCACCTGACGTCCTTCCATGCTCAATTCGAACAGCTGCGTCCTGGCATTCATAGTGATACCTGTGAAACAATTATCATGACAACAATCTCTGACAATGTGTTTAATAAATAAAATATGTGAAAAAATAAATAGAAAATAAATTATTATCTATATGTCTATAAAAGTCATGAAAAGAAGTTGCAGAATTAAATTATACTAAATCAAAATGTTCTATTATCATCATCAAATATTTTGTGATACAATCGATAGTATAATCCCAAGGACAATTACATAAAAATAAAAACAATAAATAAAAGGAGCATAGAACTCAACATTGTTAACGTAAATATAAGACTTCTTTTTAAATATAAGATTTTGTACGAAAAAGATTCTATGTGTGACTTCTATGCTCCTTTTAAATTTCTATTTCACATGAAGGAGATAAAAGAAATGACTCATAATACTCTCATCGGAACAAAGAGAAACAAAAGAAAATAAACAGTGAAAAGTTAACTCTTTCGACAAAGATTAAACACATGTCTGTCAAGTCATTAATTTAAAGAATTTTCACGGCAATTTTCATCAATCAGACCGTTACAGTCATGCAAGCTAGCAAACCTAACCTCAAATCCATTCAAAATCTAACGAACGGAAGCATGCACATATGGGTGACGAATAAAATTCTAAAATCAGCTCGGAATATAAAAGAAAAGCAGAGATTAACACGACGACGTTGATCTTGCGGCCGATTGTGCTCTTCTCGTTCGCGCTTTTTACGTAACGAGGTCTCAGGACGAAAAGACAGGAGAAAAGAGGAGAAGAGCCGTGCTCTACTAGGAAAATAACCAAAGGCGCGAAACTAACTTTGTCGCTTTTTCCCCTTGGTATCGAGGCCACCCTCTTAAGATCGCTCCGCCTCACTGTCGTCGTCGTCGTCCTCGTGGCCGTCCTTGTGCTGTGCGATGGCGGATAAAATTAGGTTAAGTTTCACGCGTTGATCTGGTGACTTCTGCCGCCGTGGGTACCGCTACCCTTTTCCATCGAGTCCGTTTTCGCGCGTCCCGTTCTTTTCACGACGCACCACCACCACCGTCGCCACCACCACCACCACCACCACCAACAACAATACAACTACTATTACCACCACCACTACAACCGCCGTCGCCGCTGCCACCAGCACTGCCACCAACTCCGCCGTCGCCGCCTCCACCGCCGCCACCACCACCGCCGCCGTCGTCGTTGTTGTCAACGTCGTCGCTGTCACGTTCTCGTCACGTCGCCGTCACGTCGCTCGCGCAACGAGTTATTCCGACCTGTTCATTCGTCGACAATCTTCCATTGTCCCCGACCAGTCCCGACGACGGGGAGTCCAGGCCGCGCTTGTCCTCTCTCAGCAGCAGCCGCAGCTGCAGCAGTAATAGCCAGTTAAGCCAGTGGCCTGCTCCACACGGGTTTGTGGGTAAACAACAGCTGTGATCGTGGCACACGCCATCTTGACGCTGCGCCGCTGATTCGCGTTTCGATACCTGGCCCCGCGAGGGCTCCACGCACTCCGTCCCGGATGGTGGGTTGGCGGGTCCCGGAGCGTGTATACCCTGATGACTCTGCTTGACTCCGCGTACACGCGCGCGACGACGTCGGGAATACGGGATCAACGGGAAATTCTAAGATTGTCTGGAATGGCCGACGAAGGCAAAGAACTCTTTCTTTCTCTTTCTCTCTCTCTCTCTCTCACTCACTCTCTCTCTTTCTCTTTTGCAGAAGAAAACGATCGTCGCACAACACAATGTTTGATTAGACTTCGATTAGATGTTACGGATTACCGAGTCAGTTGTGACGATCTGTCTGCCTACTCTCCGGGAATCACTCGCCTGGTGCTACATCATGAAATCACACGACGTATACCATGTACGAAACGACACAATGCGGATCGATTGACGTCTTGAATCAGGGCCGGACACGGACAGTCTGGCACTGGACAAACTGGACTGGATCTCCCACTCCGCTCCGCTCTGCTCTGCTCCGTACTTGTACTCCGTACTAATCCAATCTACGATCTACGATAAGTCGCATACCGGATGTGTGCGTTGGTGTGCGTCGCGAAAACTGCCGCGCGACGCCTCGCGGTGAGATCAGCGTCACACGTGCGCAGTTGCAAAAGGCGCGAAACGACTTCGCTTTCCTGGAAATCTCGTCTCGACGCTTTGAAATCCTGACGCTTGCTTGATCGCGTTCTCGAACCGCCTATCGGCTCATCGACTCTCACCTTTCGAGACATTTACTCCGATATCTTTTTGACAAATAAGGTTCGTTATCAGATGACTTTCGCGATATTCTATTTATTCTGACCTCTTTAGCGATAGATTTTCTACCTTCGTGTCTAGGGCTATTTAGGGATATGCAATTTCCGAATCGATTTGCAAAAGATCGACTTTTTGCAAAAAGATCGCTCCGAAATCTGTTTTTGTTTTAAAAAAAACGAAATTAATTCTTAAAGAAATCTAAACAAATCATCATGTCAAACTAAGATTCGTATTTTAACGAGATTTATTTTTCGATCTATGTTATTTTATGTATATTCAAAATCTTCAACTTTTTTAATATGTAAAATGATGATTAGAGTTGATTTATCGAGAAAAAAAAATCCCTACAAAAATGTAAATTATTTATATTATTTATATTATTAGAACAGAATATCTCTCTTATATATCTTAATGAAATTTATTTTTTGAGCTACATTGGTTAAATAATTTGTATTTCTCATAATGAATACTATGCATTCTTAAAGCCTTAATTTTTTAAATTTGTAAATTGAAAGAAATAAATCGAAATTCATCTATTTATTCATCTAAAAAATTATATAAATTCATAAAACAATTTATTTGTATTATCAAGACAAAATATCGTTTCTATCATAACGAAATTAATTTTTTTCTCTATATTGATTAAACCGTTTTTATTCCTCTCGAATACCATATATTTTTAAAGCTTTTTTTTTTTCAATTTAAATTTTCGATGATAAACAATTTCATTGTAACAATTTAATTTATTTGGAGTTGATAGTTCTCGATTGCTTTTATTAGCAATTTTTACAAGCAGCAGCGATATCTGTATGTCTCGGACATATGTCAGCTGAAAATAGTGTGATGGAAATTTGTAAAGATAGTCAGAAAATAGTCAAGAAACCATCTTTCGTTTATAAATTTCCGAAGTCCATGTATATTGTTGTAGAAATATGTCAAGCGATACGTTTAGTGTCGGTCGATTTGTCGCCGTGTGGGATATATTATTTTAGTATTAGGTTTACACAAAAGGCCCTTTGCTTTGTTTATTTTACTTGAACTTCTTTATCCTTCTTACCTTACCGCGGATTTCCTCTCCGCTGTTTCCGGATGCTACTCAGCGTTTCTCCAACAAGAGACATCGGTCTTTTTTTATAAAATCACAAAACTGTCACGGACGACATAAAATATAATTAAAATGAAATTATAAAAATATTTTCAGTCGAAGTATTCTTGGTGGCGAATCTTTTATTTTTATAACTAATTTTAATTATATTTAAATATATTGCATGAAAATAATTTTCTGCTGATAATACAGTATATAAAATATGACAAAATTATATCTATATATAATATATATATTTTAGAGATATATAAAAATATATTTTTTTTTATACGTTACTTTTATCAATCGTCATGTTACAAGCAATAAATTACTGTCTGCGTTCAGCGGAAAAAGCAACTTTGCAACTGTAAAATTCTTTAATATGATTGATCTTTTTTGGTTTCTCACTAGATCTAAAAATATAAATCATTCATAATAAAGAATCTTATACAACAGTTACAAAGCTGCTTTTTCTGAATGTAGCCATTAATAGTTTATGATTGTCTATCAACAGGTGCTCAACTATCGCCTTTAATTTACTGTATCTGTAAAACGAACCGTCGATTCACAGTTTCAAAAAGCTCTTTAAAGTATTGTATCTTTAAACTAAAATGCGTTTTTTATAAATGAAAGTTTTCTGCTTTCGAAATCACCGAATAAATTTCAACAATAAAGCTTTTGCCGATACAATTTTGCTACGCTCTGTACATTGTTAACAATCTAAATTAATAAATGTTGCACTAAATAATACAAAGAGAAATTTTTTTTGAAAATCTTAGAAACATTTTTATTGGACTAGTTAACATGCTCTTTGGTATCATGATTACAATATTATATGATATTGCAGTAATTGAGTGTATGAAACAAGGAAACAGTCTCTTCGTGTAATGTATAATACCTCTTCATAGAAAATATTATATTAAATAATACAAAAAAAAGTTTTTTGAGAATCTTAGAAACCCTTGCAGAAATTTAATACTGGAAGATAATGATATTAATCACTTATTTTGGATGATATTAAATTGGATTTCTGTAAGAGATTTTTTTATTGCACTAGTTTTAACATGTTATATGGACAATATATAATATATAATATTCCTTCGCGGGAGATTTATTGTACTAAAATAAATCGAAATTATACTGAATTCTCAATTTTTATAAAATCTTTTCTTTATAAAATAAAACAAAAATGATTTTATTAAATCTTATAGAATCGTATATATGAAAAATACAACTTATAGAAATCAATACCTTAAACAAAAAATAATTGTGCCTATTTTACCCGTAATTGTCATTTTTATTATTTTGATTCAGACTTTTAAAAATATGCAGAATAGAGGTTTCTTTGATATGCAAAAAAATACGTACGGTCGAGACATAAACATATATTATTTCCTTATCACACAAGTAGAGATGCCGTAATTATACATTAAGATTAAATCAATAAATACTAGAGTAAGGCACTATGGAATAAATAAGGCGTGAATACACGAATAGCACCGTCGTGTAATCCAGCTGGTAATCGCTCTTCGTAGATATCGCTCGCTGTAGTTAAGTTCTGATTGGATTGTCAGAATTTTTTTGTTAGTAATAAGAGAGCTGTTGCTCCTGATTATGGCATGTGGATACGCCCTGATAACCTGAATGATGGAAGTTTTGGATATCATGAGTTACTTGCTGTCCTCGATACTGATTACAACTCGAAGACGTCGAGGAGGACACGTTGCAACTGTTGTTCATAAGCGTGTTGTTGCTTTGAATAGCGAATGGCCATGACTGTAATTAAAATCATTCTTACTATATTGACTCGAATTTAAATGCCTTGATTACGAAGTAGATCGCGATACGCATTGTTGACTTTTTTGAGTATTATTAAAATTGTAAAATACTAATTAATTATAAATGTCGATATATCGATAGTGTATTGTAAAGTAGATATTTATTTATGTATTATCACGAGATCACACTTTTTTTCAACTCAAATTTATTTGTGAATCTATATAAAAATATAATTTAAATTTACATAGCAAAATAACATTTTTAATAATTTTACAGATAAAATAATGTTCTTTGATCTTCGCGAAAGGAGGGCAACAAGAGACCAACTTTCGCGGTGGAAAACGGTATGCTTCTTTAAACAACGAAACTAACTTAGAATTAATGGTAGTAAAGGATGGGTGGAAGGTTTTGGAGTGATTCGATCCACCTGGACAGACATAAACAGAGTAGATGACTGCGAAGACGGCGCTCGCGACTCCGAGTGGATCCACCTGGTCTCTGTGTTATTTTACGGAATCGTTATCAAGTCGAAAGTCTGATCGTAAGAACGAGAAATAGTTTGGAAATAACTCGCACTTTAGATTCCCGTTAAAATTAGATAAATCAACAATTTTATACAATCCCACATTTTGTGGAATGCAATTTGAATGAAATTAAAAAAATAACAATTAAATTCTTCATGAAAAAGATCTTAAAAGATACTTGATACTTAGACTTTTTAGAGTCTCTTTTCGTTAATCTATTTTTTCTAACAATTCTCTGATTAATGAGTTAATTGTTAATTAATGAACAATTTTGCTTGTTTACTGTACTATACATTTTTTAATATGTATACAATTGTTGTTATTAACATTACTTAAAGTTAATTAAAGTTTAACTGTTAATTAAAGTTTAACATTTTCCTAAAATAAAAAAGGAGGAAAACTTGCTCAAATTTTAATTATAATTTTAATGAAGATAGAAATGGACACTCACCAAAGCCAGCGACAAGGATTTCGTGGTTTCAGTATGAGTTTCACCATCATCTCGAAGTACTGCTCTTAGATGAGCAATGTATGTTGCGGCTAAACGCAACGTATCTAATTTACTCAATTTACTATCGGCAGGTATCCATGGCAATGTTGTCTTTAGTCTACAAAATGCCTTGCTTAAAATTCGCATTCTCGCACGTTCTCGGGCATTGGCAGCGTTTCGCGGAGCGCGACTATCCATGTCGTCTTTCATGTATTTTTCCTCAGAAGGATATTCCTCCAACGACGATGTCGAAGCGCGCCGTTTTCGAGGCATCCTACTGTATAATAACAGTTACTATTAATTAATTATTAGATAATTATATTTTGGTAGATTGTGAGACACGTAATTATTATCGCAATAAAAAGATTTTTTATGAATTAATGAAAAAATGATTCCAATTTTTTTCTTTATCATATTAGAAACTTCTATTTTATTTCTTTAAAAAATAGAATTTATTGACTCTCTCTTTCCTTACACATTTCAGCCAAAAAATATAAGATAATTATCCATTGAATAGAAAGTACTGAAGTTTTTATTTTTTTCTTTCATATAAAATTTAAAATCAGACGAATCAAATTGTAGCAAAGCTATGTGTTTTACAATGCAAGAATAATTAATCGATTAATAATGATTGCAAAAATAATAAATAATTATAAGCAAAGATAATATAATTATATCGAATGTGAAGCTTTACTTTTTTGTGCCATATTATTTTTACAGTAAAAAATTACATAAATTTTTATGTAGCTCAATTCTGTTTATTACTTTAGATAAACGCTGAAAGTTAGTCTATCATTTTCTTTTTCATTTTGCATGTTTTATTTCGCAAAATCTGAATAAGGAAACTTTATAAATTGTGAAGTGAAATGTATTTTGTGTTACTAGATTAAAAGAAAAGAAATATTTAGAACATCAATTTAAATATCAATTTAGAATTAAAAAATTACTTTTAAGAAATAGTTATTTTTAGCAGTTATTTAAGAACATAATCTCACAATTAGTAATAATATATATATATAATTTTGATTATTGTTTAAGTCTGCACTTTGCACACGTACAATTCAACTTTTAAAAGCATAAAACTTTGTTCTATTTTTTTTAACACTGTCATATGTAACAACAATAATACTTATAGTAACACAGAAATTTTTATACCAAGAATCGCAAATAGCAAAGTCTGTAATAATGAAGCTTGTAATATGATTATTAATATAACTCAGCTATATTATGATAAAGATAAAAATTTAAAAACCAAAGTAGAAAACTATCACTTTGCGCATTATGAAGAGTACTATAAGAATTATTTTCTTTTTTAATTTGTTTTTAATTAGTTACACTTAGAATATTAATTTGTTGATATTCTCGTCGTTGTCATATGCTTCTAAATTAATTGCAGCACTATTAATATGCAACTTGTTCGATACCTATGATCGATTATTCCTTTTTTTATTCACTATCACGAATCTATTGATACAGGGCCTTCGCAACAGATCGCGTCTATGGTGTGTAACTAATTGTTAGTCAATGTTCTTAGAGCACAGAAGCTGAAGGCTGGACCGGGTGGAGCAACGCAAATACGAAGAGAATGAGACAAACAGAAGATATATTCGTTGGAGAGACGCAGAGATTTGGGACGCCCCGAAAACCAGGCGGAGCTTTCGAACATCAGAGTCTCATTCGCCTCATCTCGTTTTCCGAGATGCTGCTCGATCCAATCCGCGGGAACATTGCGGCATTCGTAGCCACCTGGCACATCCTTCCTGGTTTTCTTTCTTTCTTCTCTCTCTTTCTCTTTCTTTCTTTCTTTCTTTCTTCTCTCTCTCTCTCTCTCTCTCTCTCTCTCTCTCTCTCTCTCTCTTTCGATGAAAGTGCAAAGAAGAAGAAACCAAGACTTGTATTAATATCCCACATTAAAAGCAAATGATTTTGAAACTTTTTCACATGAATTTTTAACTTTTACATTGGTGACGATTTCCGATTTGTTGATTGAGTGGTTTTAATTTTAACATATAATGTAATCGTAAAATAATATAAAAAAGTGTATTATCCATTTAAATCTCTCTAGATATTAAATTGGACTTACAATAAATAGAATCGTACATTCCCGATAATTCTATATTTTGATTTAGACGATATTAAAAGATATCAAAAGATATCACCTTCAAAGATTATCTATTAAATAAGCAATATTATTTATATAGAATGTTGTTGATATTTTACCAAATATCGAAGATTTTAGTTTCTTATCATTATTGCACTTTATTCTTTAAGATAAATGACTTCTTAAGTTTTCATATTAATCAATTTAACAAAGAGAGGATGCTTCTCAGAGATATTCTCATAATTATGATATATGTATCTTATACTAAGAATTATATTAAATTATGCTTCACTTCCTTCGTGAATCCTTCGTGAATCCTTCGCAATATCCTGAGCTCAGAGGCTATATTTAACACTCAATTGAAATAATTATACGATTGAAGTAATTATACGATTGAAATAATTATCACTTAATCGTCTGCACGAGTACATACAGTTGCGTAATTGTTGGTGTATTGGATTATATTAGCATGTAGAACTTCTCGCGTATTCAGAGAAACTGCAGAAGAATTTAGTGCGCGTCAATCACTATAATATTACTAATATCTAACAATGACTAAATTTTGCTCTATAGTCTATATGACTATATTTCCCCAGGACACGCTCGTTCTTCTTCATCCTCATTCAGACTTTCGCTTTGAAGGGAAGGGTCGACTAATCCATAATCCATCGCAAATCCCCGTCAACTGGCAGTCATCCATTTCGTCGAAATTAGGATTCGAAATGGATCCTGTAATATGAGGTTTGCGGTGGCCCCTGCTGATCCTACTTAGAATACTGAAGAAGGCGTTAAGTTATTACTCGACAAATTCATGAAAAAAATAGGGCAATTTGACACTTTCCGACCTTTTTCTCACTAACTTGTCTCATGGAATCATTTAAAAGATTTGTAACAAATTGTGAAAGTGGTGTACTTAACACCTAGTTCAAGTAAAAAAAGTTGTAGACAGATTTAGTATCTTTTATTAATATTCTTTGAAAGATTTAGTATCGATCCTTTTTTGATGAAAATACAAAGGATTATTTTATAGATATTATAATAATATTGTACATCTTTCTTCTTCATCCTCTAGAACAATAATAACAATTACAATTGTACTTAAAATATAATTAGGATTTAAGCTGCTTTCCTTTTAAGAGATACTGTCGATACAAATATATTATTCTATCAATAAGATACAATAAATTAAATTGTAGGATTCCTTACGCTTCAATCAAAATTCGTACATGTCAAGGAGCGTTTTTTGAATCAGCGTGGTAAACAATTGCACAATAATCGATTATACGAAGTATATACTTAATATAATCAATTATTGCGCATTGTTTATCGCGCTTCGAATCGCCCCTTGACATATATGAATTTTGATTATTCTATCTTATTCATTGAATGCTAAGATATAGAACATTTGAGTCAACTGTATTTCTTAAAAGGAAAGCAGCTTCAGTTAAATGTACAAATACAACATGAAAACAAAGTAAATGTTACCTTTATATCAAATTATGTTACTTGTTTATCTTAAAAATATTCTATCAAATCATTTACTATTTTATTGTAATTTTACCTTTATTGTAATTTAACTTACATATATGAATTATATATGTATAGAAATAATTAATGAAAGTTAAATGCATATGCGAATGACTTGAATAAAATTAATTTATTTTGAGTCTAATAGATGTGACCTATAATTTGCGTTATTAGAATTCAAAAGAAAATTCTATTTATAATTTTATATAATACGAAAAATGTTTGAGAAGTTTACCAAATTACGTACATGTATAAAATATAAATATTAAATATCGCTTATATGTTTTATATATACAATATACATAAAATATATATGTATGAGATATATAAAGTTCTAATTTAAATTCTATTTTAAAGTTTGATGTATTATGAATTACAGATATTTTTAAAAGAACAAAAATAGTTCCTTAAAATTTATTGATATTTGACAACTTCTATATTCTTTTTTTACTATATTTTTAGAAGTTTTTAGAAGATTTATGCCCGTTTCTACCAACATATTTACTCTCGGTTCAACTTACTTTTCGTCTTTTTTTAATTCTAAAGATTAGAAAAAGAGTAAATTGAACCGAGATTAAAATTAATCTACGTTAATGGAAATGGACATAAATGGAAGAATCTATACAATCAATGAAAAATTCTTCCTTTTAATCAGAAAACATTTAAAAATATTGTTAAAAAAACCAACAAAAAAATCTTTTTTTCTACTGGATGAAAACTTTTTGATATAAAATTCAATTTTAATCTCGATTAAGAGAAATTTGACAAGTTCAATTCGTAACGGCGCGACCGGTGCGACTGTGATCGCGGTAACTTCACGTCGTATCTTCTCGGTTCGCTGTAAGATGGTGCTGATTGTACCGAATAGCGCGACGTGCGTATTTGCGACGGAGTTGAGCGAAGTCAACTAGTCAAGTCGAATCGAGTCGAGCGTGTCGTGGAGTACTGTGGTCCCTTTTTCCCCAGTTGTTGCTCACGGATTTTTTGGACAGCCTTTCCACGCCCGTGCGTGTACGTGTGAGATCGATTTAGGTCTACGCCAAGGGCCGAGGACGATTCATGAACGCGGCGACGATAACGCCGGATTCGCCGCTGCAATCTCGATATAACGACATTTCCGGAAGGCGAATCAACGTCCGCTCGCGGAATTTTTGGCACTGACGGCACGTCGTTCAAAAGAACGTGAGTCACGAAATTGCATTATGTACCGCGTTTAATTCCTTTAGAAATCTACCTTCGTTGATTGAAGAGGTTAAGTTTTACGACGTTGACAGTACAGGAAGAAATGCGGTAATTTGATAGAATTTTTAATTAACGAGGCTTTTCGATTCGCTTTGTTCTCGAAGATGGCTTTGTTTGAATATTGAACAAAGAAACATCAGTATATAAAGAAGTTTATAATTTTTATTTTTTATAAAATATTGTATGTAGTTTATAATGAAATAATTAAAATGTAAATTATTTAAATTTAATTGTTAATTAAATATTAGTTGCCATTTATGGCATGCATTTAACATTCTATGAATATAATTTTAGAATTATGAAATAAAAATAAAAAATAAAATTAAAAAAAAAATAAAATAAATGGTAAAGATTTTATGTATCTTATAAATGTTAATTTTATCATTAACATAATATATTTATAAAAAAATATAAAACATGTTTGTAAGTTTTGTCAAAAAATGTCATTCATAAAATTGTTTTCTCATAATGAAAATATGTATATTGAATTGTAATAAATACATAGCATATTTTTAGATAAATACATACTTTTATCATCTATTTGCAGCTATCTTCTGTAATAATCTATATTTAAACATGTCAGAAGAACATCAGTTGCCTTCTGATTCAGATGAAGATGATGAAGATTATGTTCCTGATGGTGCTGACAGTGATCCAGTATCTGAAGTAGAATCTGAAGGTGATATTGAGAGTGGTCCAGAAGATGAAAACGATGAAAACAAAAGAGAAACCAGAAAGAAAGAGAAGAAGAAAGTAAAGAGGAAGAAGAATGTAAAGAGAAAAAAGAACTCACTGAAGAAGAAGAAAAAAAGAGAGCAGATTCTCTTTGGGCTGATTTTATGAAGGATACAGGTTTGTACAAAATTATACAATGAAATATTACATACAATTACCTTACATAATTACATAATATGTAACAGGAAGAATTTTTTATTACATTAAACAGCCCAATAAGGCCCAGTTGTTCCACCTTTTGATAAATTTTGCCTGTTAGGTAAGTAGCAAGATTACCCAATCACATGCGCAGATTACTAGATTTGTCTCACAGGTAAAATTTACCAAAAAGTGGAACCAGCCCTAAGTCGTTTATTTTAAAAAATAAATTATATATTATTATATATTATATCTATAATGTCTACAACACAATTTCTAAAGATTTGAAGATTTTTTTGGGCTTAATGCCATTTATGATATATTCTTTCAGCTGAATTTCTTGCACTATTCATTTTTTCTCGTTTTCTTTTCAATATGGAGAGAAAAGAAATATGAATGGTGAAGAAGTTCAGTTAAAATGAATAGACTTTTACATTAGAAGAAGAGTCAATAAAAGTATATTATCTTATCTAAATGAGGTTAATACAATATCTAAAGAAATTTAAATAACACATTATATATTTTTTACAGCTGTTGTATCAAAGTCCAAGCCACAGAATTCAATCAGTAGATCGAATGACAAATCAGCACCGATCCAGAAGCCGAAAGTCCAAGAAAAAGTTAAGATAACTAAGGTTTTTGAATTTGCGGGTGAAGAAGTAAAGGTCGAGAAGGAAGTATCTGTTGATTCAGCAGAGGCCCGATTATCTCTTTCAACGGCCGAAAATTCCACCACGAAGCCATCAGAATCCACATCTCCCGCGATCAAAGAACGCGGACGAGGTGGTATCAGGCGCGTCGGATTAGGCGGCATCTCTTCGGTTCTAGGACAAATTGGAAAAAAGGCTAAAATTAGTACATTAGAAAAGTCTAAATTAGATTGGGACAACTTTAAGAAACAAGAAAACATTGAGGAAGAACTTAATACTCATAACAAAGGCAAGGATGGATATTTAGAACGGCAAGATTTTCTGCAAAGAGCAGATCTACGGCAATTTGAAATCGAAAAACAATTACGAAATACTAGTAGACGTAGTACGCGGTAAATTTGCATTTCCTCGTTTATATATCTCTTCGAGATGAGACATGGAGATAATAATATCATGGTAGAAGATATTTACTCGCCAATTTGCCAAACTCGAACGCTTATTGCACACGTTTAGCCTAATTCATTCGAGTTTTGCGCTTTTGAGTAATGTGAGTAAAAGGAGCGTTGCCTCGTTTGACTCGATAACGTGCTGACTATGATAGCGATCGGTGTTTTTTTTTTAGGGACCGATCATTCCAGTGTTTTGAGACTCATTTCTCATGCGTACGTAATATACATAATAGCTTAATTTACTCTCAGCGAGCCTTCGTCTCGGCCTGATAATTGCACAGAACTTCGCATCGAAGCAAATTGTTTGAAGCTTTTGACGCTTCTTGAAAAGATTGTGCCCATGTAGAATATATCCATAAAATATTTTTTTATTTCATTTCACTAGAACGCGATACGTTTGCGTGTATGAATATACGCGACATTCTAATAATAATGATTAGTCGAACGTTACGAGTGAGTATGAAGGAATATATGTTTTAGGTAATATAACAAAATGATAACATAATGACATTAATTGACCTCATTCATGACCACTGCCTTTGGCAATTGTATGTGGAATATTTATAAATGGACCTCTCATAATAGATAGTACATAGATTATGTTGAAACAGTTGTGGCGAATTTTGTATATCATCTTTGTCTCAAATTGTTATATAGGAAGATAGTTCAACACATATAAAACACAGACATTGTTACTTTTGTGTAATGTATATTAGACAACAATAGGTTTATCCTTTTTCCATATCTCAGGATTAAACTTCTTATATGTTCATTTTTCTTTTTCTTTTCAGAAAAAAAAATAAAAGATGTGATGAATTATGCAAGAAGTGCAATGAAGTTTTGAGGTATAGAAAAAGAACAAGCCTAATATATTGAAACATAACATATACATATACTCAATACCCAATTAACAATTCTCGATTCAGCTCAGGTTATTTCCTCGAATTTACATTTTAATGTATTCGCGAAATACATTTTAATGTAATTCCATACAAGGACTGCTTTGTGAATTCTTTTGAGAATTCTTTAATAATATTGTCGAATAAATTGTCGAAAGGAGAAATGGTATTTGATTCTTTTAAAAATATTAAATCCTAGTTGATATTTTCAGTATATCAAAACTTGGAACCAGTTTTATAATAAAAACTAAATAATATGAAGAAAATGATTTTGTGTGTGTGTGTGTGTGTGTGTGTGTGTGTGTGTGTGTGTGTGTGTGTGCGTGCGTGCGCGCGCGCGCGTGTGTGTATACAGAGTGATTAACATATTTCGTCACCCATCATGAGCAGGTAGAGCGAATCGAACTGAGTCGAAAAGTTATCTACCATTTTGCAGTTTACGCAATAGTTAACGAGATATTAATTACTAAAAATTGCCAAATATTGATCTTGAATAATTTTTTACTCAAATAACTATCAACTTTATAGAAAGATTGCAAAAGAGAAAAATCATTTATTTTCTTCTTATAGAATTCTAAAAATTTTTTCAGAATTTTTTATCAACTTTTTAGTACTGCATTTTCTTATTTTTACCAACATGAGAAAATACGGTATTAAAAAATTCTGAAAAAATTCTCAGAACTTTATGAGAAGAAAATAAATGATTTTTGTCTCTTGCAGTTTTTATTTGAATAAAAAATTATTCAAGACCAATATTTGGCAATTTTTAATAATATCTTGTTAATTATTGCGAAAATTGCAAAATGGTAGAGAACTTTTCGACTCAGTTCGATTTACTCTACTTGCTCATGATGGGTGATGAAATATGTTAAAATTACCCTGTATATATATATATATATATATACATACACACATATGCATATACACACACACACACATGGGTGTGGTGTGTGGTGTGGTGTGTGTGTGTGTGTGTGTGTGTGTATTCGTCACCAATCATGTATATATACAATTTTAAATATATTTTTTTCCCTTTTAAATGTTTTATAAAGATAGCAACATTGCAATATAAGAAACAATGAGATAAATAATATTAATGTTGGTTTTACAATTGTTTTCAATGAAATCATGTTATTTATTTTTAAAAATTTATATAAAAATATATATATTCTTAGTAACATTCAATAAAATTAAATGGATTCGTAGAATTTGCATGTTAAACGAATAAAAGATGATTTTGTACAATATCGCATAGAAGCGTAAAAATATGTAGGTATATAAATACATTTAACTATAATTGGAATACCAATCCAAAACTACTAAATTACTGTTGTCTCGTCAACCATCTAATTACGAAAGCACTAAATCTGTCAATTCCTCTGCGAACAGTGTCTAATCCTCTAATAATCACGCTCTGTTCTTCACTGTAAATGTCGATAATCAAACAGAAGTCGTTAATGAAACGTTATCTCGTTATATAAGAAATATGAATGTGCTAACTTTGGTTTTGCTGCCGATAATTCGCGTGAATGTTTAAATGCAGATTTCCTCTTGCTGGTCGATGGGCTTATAGTATATCTATCCACTTGTGTGTCATTCTTTGATGTGTTTTTATATGTTACTCGTATACGTTTCTTCTCTTTATGTTCGCCCTATAAAAAGTCGATGATTCGCAGCAATGTAATTTTTGATATTTTTATGTTTAATTTATATTTCCTTTCTTTTCTATATCAAATGTCTTATTGGATAATATATCCTTCCATAAAATAAAAATTATTTTTTAATATTAATTTTTAATTTCTAATTAAAAAAATATCTCGTATTTATCGAAAAAAAATTCTCAAATGTGTAATAAAGTTACTCTATAAAAGATAATTAAAAATTGTTATTCATTTGGAATACAATGCGATTTTTATATTATTTAATTAATTTAATAGATTAACGATTAACTTTAACAGAACAGCACTCGCAATGCGAAGGAATTCCATGAGACGACGTGCATTTGCAAGCTCTTAGCTCATCCAATCTGCAACCTCGCAAACAGGCGCAAAGCGTCACGAAACAGTCACGTCTCGGTCGATTGCTTTCTCTTTTCGAAGTCTTTTTATGCCGACGACGCGATCTTTTCCTCCGCTTCTTGTTCCTCTTCACAGGATCCGTGCTCCGCGAATTTTCGTGCGAATTTCTGCTCTGAGCAACGCGGTGCTCTGCCAAAAATTCACGGGTGAACAATGCGAATCCTCTGACACGTCAAGTTTAAAGAATTTTTTAAATGTTTTTTTGTTACCTTTGCGACAGGTACATATTTGCTTTTTACAATACCGAGAATTGCCGGAAACTTGTCTGAATGTGTTCGTCGTGCTGTACAAAATTCAGATAAATGCGATAAAACCATTGGCTTATTCAACGTGGATGCATTCAATTCGTTTAACTTCTTTATATGTGTATGTATATATATATATATATATATATATATTATTTAATAAACGTACATAGTTATTTTATAATTTTCACGGGACAAATTTACGATTGAAAATTTATCATACGCAATAATCACTGTGCTTGTATAAAATTTGAGCGCTTGTATGATATTATGCCATATAATACCATCGGTAAAGTCTATCTTTATGTAATGAAGCGCAAAAAACGCGTGATAAGGTAACTTCTGTAATAAATATGTCCAAGTTGAATTTTTAGAGGTTGACTGCGAGGCTTGGCGTTTTTTGCTAAAAGAAATTTCAAATTAATGAAATTTATATAAATAAAATTAATAAAAATAAATAAAATTCTAATTTCGATTTATAAATAAAATTTTACTGAAAGGATCTGATCTACATTGTATTAATATTTATCTAAAATGTTATATAAATATTTATCGAAAAGTATAAATTAGCTAAAATTTCTTAATTTACCACATAACTTATCACATATTTTAGAAAAATTAGTAATAGGCATAAATCATTTAATACTTTTTGTAATCTCTCGATTCGTTAAATGAATTCTTTGAGTTGTCTTTGGATCGCTTTGACTTCAGCTTTTGTGCTCTTTTATTTCGCGACGTAGAATTGTCTGAAGAACTTCGACGTGACGTTGATGGCGGTCTCGGATCTTTTTCTTTGTTTTTGTATTTACGGCTGCTATCAGCGGTAAAGAAAATACTTTCCAGGCATGTGCACAGCGCGAAGTTAAACTGTGTACACGCCACAACCTTATCGTAAAACGCTACATTTCATGGAGATCCTGCTTGGTGACGCAGCATTTCCTAAAGAATTCGATTGCAACTGTCTGCTTTTTCGCGAAATGACTAGGATCCTTACGAGATGCTGCGATTTGTGACAAGCTTACGAGAGAGACATTTTCTCCCACAGAGATGACTGATCCACACAGTCAATTGGGTTTAACGAACCCATAGATCCGAACTTAATATATGGAAACATTCACATGCATTTATATATTGTAGATACATTTTTATATTCACACATATATGTGTACACACACACACACACACACACACATTTTTGCGAACAATAGTGCAATAAACATGTATATGAATGTATCTGTTCATTCTTTTTTTTAATGCATCTCATTATTCTTAAAATGAACTACATCTTGCCTTTTAAGAAAAAATAAAGGCAAGATGTAGTCCACTTTAAAAATAATGAGATGCATTAAAAAAAAGAATGAACAAATTTATATACATGTTTGATACAGATGGGACAGGATAACAAAAAATTGAAATTTATTTTTATTTATATTTTAAAAAAAAGAGAAAATATACAAAAATAAAATTGGACATTTTGAACGCATTATTACATAATTAAATTTCATAATTATAATTTATTATATTATTATTCGGGCAACTTATATATAATTTCTTACGTCAATTTCTTTTTACTTCCAATGCACTTTGGATTGTGACATTGTCTTGACATTTCCAATTCATCCCATCAAAATTTGCATGTTTCTTAATCGACCTGTTGTAATTTAAAAAAATGCTAAGATAAATAAAATTTCATATGGTTACATACATTTTTATAAATTATATATATTACCAGCACAATACTGCATATTTTTCAAGCATTTTTTTCTTGTTAGGAAAAATTGATCAAATATAATAACCTTTTTATTCTCGTTTCAGTTACGTATTGAGTGTTATACATAATAACATTTTACAGTTTTTTTTTTTCCCATTACAATCGAGAGCAATCGAGAGAAATTTATTCGATTTTTGTATCAAATTAAATTTTAATCTAACTACATAACACAGATGACATTTTCCATCGCATCTTTGCGCCTAACTTCAATTAAAGGATGTCAAAAAATGAATGGAAAACTTTTATCAAATCATAATTCATTTCTATTTCTATGTTTTCATAATTTTATACATCTCACATATTTCTCATAATGACAAAAATTTCTCACTCACGATTATATAAATCTGGTATTAATAATTTGCAATATTCTTAATTCTGGAATCTTTCTCATCAGATACGTAAAACTTTAATTTTCCGAGAGAATGATGCTGCTTTGGTTTTGTAGGGAAGTTCGCGGTTACGCTCGCGATGCGTGTCGATTATCCTCGCCCGCGCGTTGCAATTATTGACGCCAGACTGGCGGCCGTTAGTCCGCGGCCTTGCCATCGGCGATTTATTCACCGGTTTGAATATTTTACCGAGCCATTTCTTCCTTCAGCATCAGTTGCGTCCATTCCAGATAGCGCGAGCGTTAATTTTTTCACCTTTTTTAAGCTCTCCATATACCATATTATTACCTTTTCCCTAAGTTTTTCTTTTTTCTAAGAAACGAAAGTTCAAATATGTATACATTTATATATTTTAATATCATAATAAAAATGAATATTACAAAAACTTTTAAAAATACACAAAGAAATTTTTTTTTAAATTTTCCATATATTTTCTAAAATTTCTATATAATTTGATAACTTTTTAAAACATTTCTTAAATTTTTTTGTATAAATTGAAACATGTTTCAGAAATGCTGAAAAAAATCTACATTTTTCTAAAATTCTTTATATATGAATTTTAAGAAATATTCTAAAATTGTTTATTCTATAATTCCTGAAGAAAATTAATAAAATTTAAAGATGTTTATGATATTTTTCAAATATCTTCATAAATTTAGAGTATAAAAAATTCTTAAAAAG